TTAGTATCTGATAAACAACATTCTCTATTGCTTATGGTTTTTCTTTCATTTTAAATACTAGCTGTACCCGTACGGCTTTATCTGCATGAAATTATGACAATTTTATTAACATATTGATGCAAATGTCAAAATGACATGACATGACAAACCTTGGCAATCTTGCTTCCTTGCTTGCTTCATTCATCAGAATGGCATGAAAATTTTAGCCTAAAGCGTGACGTAATTGTAGGGATTTTTGTTAAAAAAAAGTATTATTCAAAAGTATGCTGTAATTATTGACATCTTAGGCACAAAGAAGTGTGTGTTTACGCTTTATTATAATAGTAGAAATTAGTAAATAATTTCCAATCATATTTTTATTACCGAAATCTTTAAAATATAGGTTCATTTTCGTGACTGATTTTAATCAACAACAAAACTGAAGTATATAGATCTTATCAGAATGCCACTTAACATAAAATACATCGTTAAAAAAATCAACTTTCATTTTCCTGTAACAGCGAGTCTCGAATGCGATTTATCACTTACAAGAATAAGCACTTTAGATTGAGCAGCCATAAAAATTGGTCCAATCAAGATGGTGTTCCACCCTCATTAAGTTCAGTGCACAGCGACCATTCTTAAATTAACAATCGTGGAGCCGTTCGCATCATTCCTCGCTGCCCACTCCTTTGTCCAAGCTATTTTTGTTAACGGTCCAAGTTATAGGAGATAATCAAATTAACAGCTATATAACACCAATTTACTGCTTTTACGTGTTAAAAGATATTCTAATGTGTCTGAAGGGTAAATACTGTTCAAATAATGGATTACAGTTCAAAATCGAGCTAGTTGTTTAGGTTATGGGAAATAACCATCAAATGGAAATGAATAAATAGATACATTTATACTTATATAACATTTTGGCGCATACACGCATTAATACAATTAAAATATATTTTAGTAACATTAAATACCATATGTCTAGAAGATTCTGGTAATATTTTTTTCACATATGGGGGATATTTTCCGCTTTCACTTATGGCTTATACTGTATTGTCGACATGTAAGGTAAGTCACGACCGGCCACCGGGCCAAAAGCGACAATCGATAATATCGTTCCCGTTTTCCGTTTGACCCTATCGCGGACCTCACTGAGGTATTGCTTCGCGTTTGTTTTAAGTATCGTCTCTCTCAATATGTGGTTTACGAGGCTGTCGTCGAGACTTTATGCCATACTAGCTGTTCCTGTGCGACTTCATCCGCATGAAATTATGAAAATTTTATTTTATTGTTTAAATTTGTCAAATTATCAATTTCAAAATGACATGACATGATGACAACCTTGCTTCCTTGATGTTGGCAGCAACTCATGGTCTCTTTCTCATGTTAGAGTTTTTAACCAAAATATTTACCCCCTAAGTTTAATGGTGTTAAAATATATATAGCCTAAAGCGTTACGTGAGTGCAGGGCTTTTTATTAAAAAAAATAATTATTCAAAAATATGTTGTAATTGCTGACATCTTAGGCAACAAAAAGTGTGTTTACGCTTTATTATAATAGTATAGATTTGGGATATCCTTATTCATTTTCATTATCGTTTTTTATCATACTCACTGCTGTGAAAAGACTTTGTCTTGTATGAAGAGGAAATATCCTGTTTATGAGCGTCTCCTCCTTCGTCGATTAATGGTAGCCAACGCATCCGCTATTGCGAATGTCTACGGACAGCGGTCGCTTCGCCATTTCAGCGGATTGATGTGGCCGTTTGCTCGTTTGCCACCTTATGATATAAAAAAAATACATCTTTCATTGGTGTTCAGAATCCTTTACAGGTTTTGTAACAAAACGTAAATCTAAAAAAATTACGATAGAAGTCTTTACCTCTCCCTCTATTATTATCAAGCAGAGAGAAAGAAAAATTGATCTTTACATGAACATTTAATTATAAATATGCGTATTGGAGCCCGGAAATAACATGGATTTAGATCGGTTTCTACAGTGGTAGTGCCCGCTTTAACATCTTAGCACGAATGGGCCGGCACGCCCGGTGGAATACCACGACCACATAGAAGATAGGCGTGAAATGGAAACAATTCCGTGTTTCGTCTGATGAGTGTGGTGCCGGAGGCCTAATTAAAGTCCCTTTCTCTTTACCACCCTTTTCTTATAAAAAGAGGATGGGAAGAGGAAGTGGATTTGACAGTGGAGGAGATGCATAAGAAGAGGAAATATCCTCTTTATGTGCGTCTCATCCTCCGTCTGATAAGGGTAGGCAACGCATCTGCAATTGCGGATGTCTATGGACAGCGGTCACTTCGCCATTTTGGCGATTTCAGGTGGCCGTTTGCTCGTTTGCCACCTTATGTTATTAAAAAAAAAAAGATCGACATTAGATATTAGATCAGCATCGGTTTAATCACGTTTGTGCAACTTCCGGGCAGAGGATATGGTACACCACACTAGTAGGTTCATATTAATTTTCATGTAAATTTATAGCAAAGCAACTATTGATGATTTTAGCTGTAGTAACCATTACAAAACCAAAAAGACTAAAAATGTTACGGTAAAGAAACTTTTTATCCGTAAATATTATCAGATATTGTCCAGAAAAGACAATAGCGATATTAAATAACGTGTTTATTGAATTTACTTACTAAAATAATTAAGCGTTATATATTATAGTTAACTCTTTATTCTCGTCGGGTAGTGTCGGGTACGTGAGCTGTTACCTTATAAGACATGCGACACCAAATTAATTTGCCGTCCAACAAAAAGAGCCCTTAGCAGTGAAAGGAAATAGTTGGGTCGCTTCGCCGGTGACCTTACGTCGTTTGATGAATGGTCGCCCTTCCGCGCCCTCTGTCGTCATCGATAACGAGGTACAGTCGCGAACATTTGCGGTGATCAACTTACAAAAAAGTTGGCTTGTTTTTTACAACCAAACAACCGCCTCTTATAAAACACCATTTAGCTAGAAGTGAGATTTTTAGGACCGGCCTTTTTTCATATAGACATTTGCAAAAGCGTCGTCTTATTAGCTCATCGTTAGTTTCCCTGATTGTACCTTGCCCTTTTGATAGGGCAGAGCCGTGCAATCTGAAACTTGATTTCTTTTATATATAAAATCGGATTTCAAATAAACCTGAAACTAAAGGGTTTTATTAACAAGAGAATGTGTAAAATATCTTTATAGTTTCTATGATTAATTTAATTCAAATGAATATTTCTTTCCTTTTTCCAGTCTCTTTGAACTGTTCCGAACAAAAATAAAACCATAAACACTCGACACTGGCCCAATCCGCTAAAAGAGTGCCATAGACAAGAAACTGATCTTTCCCTTTTTCTAACCAAAACACTTGTTTATTAAATACCAAATTAATTGTTAAAATAATAAAAAACTGTAATGTTATAATATATTTATTTTCATCAAGCACATCACTAATTTAGCCTTCTATTATTGAATGTTTTCAACCCTTATGAGCACGAGAAGCCTGACAGAATTACCCTAAGGAGGGTTGATGAAGTAAAGGTTGCGGTAGCTAGGTGCAAGACATAAACGTATCGATTTGTTATTCAAAAGATACATGCAACTTTTAAATAGATTTTTATAAGTTAACTAACGAAAAAAATACTACATACGAAGCAATTAAAATGTCAATATGAGTCGTAGTTCACAGATATAATAGATACGCTAACAACAGGTGAAATATACTTTAAAATAATTCTTGTATGAGAAAAATTCCTAACATAATAATAACCTTTTCTAACAGAATGTTAACATTAATTTTTTTCTGTCATAAATAAGAAAAAAAGGTGTAAAAAGTAATGGTCTGCAGCTTGAACTTTAACAGCACCCGCTTTTTACGCGGTGGTATAATGTATGGAAATGCATGCTTTTAATGTTAGAATAGTGGAGCTACACTGCAAGCGATTTAGATGTATATATATAAATATAGCGAGCGAGCTCGCGAGATAGATATAGACATAAGCTATAGGATAATAATTATTTATTAATTTAATTAACATTTATAACTATTTTTACATTTAAACTTTTGATTTGGTTTGTTTAAAAAATATATGTAAGATTTGACATATTTGAAACAAAAAAAATTATCTTAAAAATTCATTAAATCTGCAACCTCGTTAATGTCATTGTTAATTAAAGTAATATTTTATTTCTTAGTAGAGAAATAATCTTTACTTTGTACTTTTAAACAATACTCCTTGTAATCAACTATTAACACTTACAACTTGTCTCCCGCTATCACACGCACTCCACCCCGAGTGAATTAGTTACAGCTCAGTGACGTGTGAAGAATCAAACCGCCGTCAGTGTGCCCGCACCTGCTTAGTCCACGCTCACTGCTCGGCCCTACCATTTACATGCAACTTACCCGTATCATTGTGAAAACGTTAACGATTTTGTCGCCTGTCAAATCGCTAGTTCCAACTTGTGAAGTACACGAGAGGAATTTCAATATTGTTTTAAATTCAAGTTGTATGTATAATTTGTTTGTTTTTACATTGACTCGAAACGTGTTTGATTTGGTATGGTATTGGTTTGAGAATGAAGTGAGGTTACCCTTGATTATGTACGTGATCTTTTGTTATGTAACTAGGTGATCTGTTCCTAATCTTCGTAATATTTTAAATACGAAAGTTTAGATGGATGTTTGTAAGAGTTTGTAGCATAAACGGCTAAACAGATTTCGATGAAATTTGGCATACATGTTGAGGATAGTCTGGAAGAACACATAGGCGATGCACTTTTGTTTTTTATTTAATTCCATGCGGATATAATCGCGGGCCAAAACTTGTGATTACATAATGTTGAGATTTTTGTAGTCTCTTAGACTATATTACTGCTTCATTAGTGTCACTTTTGAATTTTTATGTCCAAGCTTGTCCAAGTCCAAGATCATGTAGTAAAGACATAATATTAAGTATGTCTGAATTTAACTATCTTCGAACACCATAAAGAAATAAAACAAATTTCACACAGTTAAACATAATTTATTCCATATTATTTTAAGTATCACAGATCCATTTATTTTTAAAGTCATCACGTTAACAAAAATATATATAAGTATAGTCTACGGCGGTGATGAGTCCCATTTACATAAACATTGGTTAGTACATATACAACGTCTACTGGTTGCAACTGCGATACTATTATATACAATCTATTTACCTTACACATAGATAGGAAATTTAGAACACAATCTAACATTTCCTCTGGGAACTCTGTTGAGGTTGAGACAACAATTCTTATCTCAGGGGCAGTTTAGGTTCAAGTTTCGAAGTACATTATAGTTATAAATAGGACAATAAATGCATTAGAGTCAAGTCTTTCGATTGACAGTGAGAAACAAGAAAACACTAAACTATTTCTAATTACATTAAGCTCTGAACAGTTGCGTAGAATTTAAAACATTATTGCCAAACGAGTCGGTGGCATCGCGAATTTGGCACGTACATCTAATTCTTGAGTTGCGAAAACAAAAAAGTGCGCAAGCGAAGTAAACAAGAACTTAGCAATATATTTCGATTACAAAGAACACTCAAACACTTATAAAAATTAACAAAATAACCATCTGTACACCAACCGTAAGTTGGCATCTCTTTAAAAGACATTAGGCACTATTATTGCTACTATAATATAATTTATATATTCCGTCGCTTATCTACAGCTCGAGTAATATCTATACAAAATAATCTACCACGATTTTACAAAGTTAGGCCGCTGGCCTACGAAACTATTTTCTCTAACAAAACATTTAAACTACGCTTAACTCAACAAAACGTTTTAACTTTCTATTTAAACATGTCTATTCGATAGACTTAGGTCTCTATACATGGTTGCGGGTGAGAGATTCATAACCAGGAGGGTCGGGAGTGCAGTAGGTCTGCAGCGTCGTGGCGGTCCATGTGGCGCAGCGCGGCGGTAAGCGCAGCCGTGGCTCCGGGCGCGCGCTCGCGGCACTCCCACAGCTCCAGGATAGCCTCAGTCGGCGAGCTCTTTGTAGCAAACCACGTTGTGTACCGGTCTACTCCGAGCCGCGACGCCGGGTCCAATATAGCGCACAGCTGCCGCTTTATGCGAGCGCTCAACTTAAAAGGTCCTTCACCCGCACACTCGTTGACGCCCGCTTCGCTCACAGTAACGCTCCGCTTAGCGCTGCCTTCGCTCCCCTCTTCACTCCTACACATCCGTGATTCTATTAAGTTCTCTGTTATATTGAAGCTACGCTGAGATTCTGCACGTGGCGATCGGCCGCGTGGCGAGCGGCTTCGGATATCTTCCAGTGATATTCGGAACATCTGCTTATAAGTTGGGTTGGTTCTTTGACATGCTGAAATACTAAAATCGATGCTGTCGCAATCATGAGTACGTTCTAAAACAAAGCTACAGTGGAGAGCGTTGTAGTTGGAACTCCATACGTGATTGAATGGTATCTCTTGGTAACCGAAGCCCGGTTTGGTTTTCCAACCGGGACTGACGTGCTCCATGTTCAAGCAGAGATTGGAGCCGCCATCCTGGAACAGCAACGTCTTCGGTCTGTCGATGAGCACTCCACCCAACTTCTTCTCCTGTTCCTGGCAGTAGTATGGCGCGCACGGAGTGTCCTCGAACACATAGAGCCTGATGCTGTACTCGCCAGACGTTTCATTGGGTACGGCAGGGGCGTAGATCGCCAGCTGCAGCGCTTTCACCGCCTTACCGTTAAAACTTTCTCCGACCAAAACAAAAGTAGATAATATATCGGTAACTAGGAATATCTTGTCATTATCTAATTGAGTAAATACTGGAGTGTTGATAGTCTCCTGACCGAGGCCGACGACTTTTTTCCACTGGGGCAAAGCGTTGTCGGATTTGGAGTTGTTATGGTCTATAGCGTATAGTGATAGATTCCAGAAGCCATGCTTAAGGCTGGCGCAGTGCGGAATCTGCAGCACCACGGACTTGTTGAGCTGCAGGCGCGGCGGGCCGCACTTCACTACGGGACTTAGTTGCGTGATGCCTGCGGATAAAGAAATCTTATTAACGAAATGAACTGTGGAGTGCGCGAGTACCTTCATTGCGCTCGAGGCTGGTCGGTTACTTTACATAAATTACACCTCTCCAATTTCTTCGTATAATGACACCATGGGTTATGTCGGTATTTTATTTAAACTCGTATTTGATTTAAAAAGGATTTATGCGTTTTCTTTCGGCAATTTACAAAACTTTCGCTTTCTCAATTGCATGTTAAATAAATAGGCTTAATTTAAAACATTGAGCTTACAATAAGAGAAAGATCCGCAATTGTGAAAAATAAGGTTACGACATTTAAACCCGCATGTTCAAAGACACAAAAAGAGACAACATTCCTATTAATTGTAAGTAATTACCTTTTCCTACTCTGAATCTGTATCTGTCATCTTTGACGACAGCGACGTACATTTGTTCGCGGCGGCTCCTACCAAGAGCCCCCTCAGGCACGGAGAGCGCGACCGCGGCAGCCGGCAGCGCGAGCCGCGCGCCAGCGCCAGACACACACAGCGACTGCGACGTGGGTGAGTTCGAGACGAGTTCCGCTAGTTGCAGCGTCACCGACTCATTCGCCGCGTCGTACATAGACCCGGCTGGAACAAAAGTTTTGATTAGTTGCAAAGCCAATTTGAAACTCATAGCGGTGCATTTCAAACTCTAGTGATTACCGAGTAACATCTGTTGAATAAAAAAAATCATTCTAACAGCTAGCTTTTTCAACTATGTTTTCAAAAGTTAACTCACAACTAGTGAAGCAACTGGAGACGGAATGTTCTGATTCGCTGTAGGGTTTACTGTCGTATTCATCGCTCTGTCCCTTGCTGGAAGCGCACGGAGTCACCTGCTGGTCTACCGGGGATGCGTAGCTGTGTACAAAAAGACCCATAAAGTACAAATTAAGTGGAGACATGCGATGTCAAATACCGAGTGTATTTGCTTCGAATGGCGGTTGAATTTTTGAATTTCGAAATTGTTTATCTTTGCGTAGCGTGCAAATTGTTTGATACAATAAGCAATAGATGGTGTAAATGCATATTACATCATACAATTTAAATGTATAATGTACATTGGTAGCTACTGTTAACCACAGCGGTCGTTCACAGTTCACAGTTTCAATAGTGACATGACACGTTGGTTAATGCGGTGTAGATATTAAAACATACTCTACAAATTACTTCATGACCGGAAATTAATACAACCACATTTGTCATAATTTATTTACAGTATGAAAATTGTTATAGAAATTTAAATGGCGTCAAAGCATGAACAACAATAAATTTAACATGACCTTGAACTAAACCTCTATCGATCGACGTCGGTTCGAGACCTATCGAGAACAAATTGGAACAGATAGACAATAAAAGGGAACTCGGTCAATTTCACTTTATTACGGTATCAATTTAGCGACAATATTTGGCTTATTTATTTTGATATCCCACGGCGGTATTCCCACGACTTGAATGGATTCTTGCATGATGAACTAATGTTTTTTTTTTAAATTTAAGACTGCTCTTCTATATGTAACTATAGTCAACGCAAAGGCAGCGTGAGCAATTTAGACACTAAGGAACAATCTCGCTTAAAAACATATCGCAAATAGAACAACTTCAACGTACAAATTAAAGTATGAGGGCTGTTATGTTGCAAATAATTTTATAGTATTGCCATAAAAATATGCGACAGCAGCTGTGAACATACAATTATATGTAACTAGCTTTCGACCGCGACTATATACGCGTTACAAAAAACAAAAAAAAAATAATCCTTGTGTCCCTTCAGACTATGTTCTACATCTATACCTTTCATCGAGATTCGTTCAGCCGTTAAGGCTACAAACATACATCCTAGTAACTTTCGCATTTATAATATTAATACTGGGTTGCTGAAGTTTTCATTTAATTTTATCATTACCTACTGATTCATTAGTGTTAGGTTGAACCAATTTAAAAAAAAGTAAAACTCAAATAACGCAGTTAGGAACCGTTTCAAGAAGTTATGGAAAGAATAAAACTAATAAAAGCTGGAAAACCGACTATAAGTAAAACTGTAGCCAACTAACCTGTTAGTGAGATGCGGTACATCGTAGTGATGCTCGGCCCTGGTGTCGGGTGGGGGGTGTTCGTAGCGCGGCGGCCGGTGCTGCATCAGGTCCGGCGCGAGAGATAGCGATTGCTTCTCTACAGTCGGATACATCTCTGGTTGGAAATCTAAATAAGAAATTGTTAAGATAAACAGCAATGAAAGAGTACCTTTAATAATGAGTCACAAAACGTATCGCTTATAAAGTAATAATGGCTTTCGTCCGCGACTACGTCCGCGTGTAATTAGTAAAACAAAAGTAAGTAGCCTATATGTTCTTCCATACTATTCTCTACATCTGTGCCAAATTTCATCAAGATCTGTTCAGCCGTTTAGGCTCCAAACTCTAACAAACATCCATCCATCCATCTTAACTTTTACATTTATAATATTACTAGCTTTCGCTCGTGACTACGTCCGCGTGGAATTAAAAAAAAAACAAAAGTGAGTAGCCTATGTGTTCTTCCGGACATTCCTCTACATCTATGCCAAATCCGTTCAGCCGTTTAGGCTCCAAACTCTAACAAACATCCATCCATCTAAACATTCGCATTTATAATACTAGTAAGGTTGTAATTATTTTGATGTTAAATTGCATTTACAATTCTAATTCAAATACATTTTAGATCATGAAATTGGGACATTCTTAGCTTTATCATTTAATTGGTCTGTTATTTCATTATTTATTTAAACTAATAATTCTTTATTATAAATAGCTTCCGACCAATTATTGCGATAAGCTTCCACTTCGGTATCATCAAAATTATGTGCGCCAATTGATTGGTACTGAAGCAAATTGGATTATATGCGATACTGTACGAATTAAATTATCCGACCACGCAAATTATGCGAGATAAATTCACTTATGTGTAAATCGACCGAAATTATCAGCGAGTTTAATTCGTCGAAAATGATGGTTTTTACAAATTCCAATAAGAACATTAGATTGTAATTTAATTCCTATATGTCTAACACTTAATTTGACGGATTTTTATAGCAAAACATATATGTTACTAGCACTAAAAGAAAAAAAAACACGTATTTATTTAATTTAGTAGTTTTTTTATTAGTTGTTCGTCACACTGAGCACGATCGAATTTATGGATTAAGGTAAATGTATTCTAATTATTAATTTACTTTTTTATTTTTCTTAGTGTTTTCTGCATAAGTAAAAGTTTTATTTCAACGAAGAAGTGACTTTGTTCTGTTTTTCAATTAAATTTAACATATTGTCTTTGTTCTTACCTGTTCTAGTCATAGTATAGAGTGAGTGATCCCTGGTCTTCCTTTGCAGCAGTTTGTAGACGACAGCAGCGCCTGACAGGAACACCACGACGGCCACCGCGATGCCGATATACAGGGGGATGTCGCTGTGCGCCGCAACTGCACAAAATACAGGATGTTATAAATTAAGACAACAACAATTCAATGTAAATTATATGAATACGTTCTTTTAGTTTTGTTGTATTAGACTGGATAAAATCGTTATTATCTTTCAATGTAAAGAAGGAAAAGGTCCAAAGCAAACTTGTCATAAACTAAGAAACTTGCAGAAGTCTTCAAGTCTGTTGAACAAAAGCTAGCGTGTTATTTCAACGTTAGTTTACTGGCTCGCCTTAAGAAAAAAATGTTTCTTTTTTCCTCGACAAAAGCTTTTCAGAGCCAACAAAGGATAAATTGCAAACTGACATCATCGAACTTTCCCGAAGCATTTTTTAACTAGAATTAATGCATCAATACTATCAGTACATTAAAGTGGAGAAATTGAGAAGCAAAAGGTTAGCGTGGTATGACACGACACATGGACATGTTATGCGATGAGACGATGGGGACATAAACCTGAAAGTGTTAAGAATGAATGTGAATGGCTACAAAGGAAGAGGATGACAGAAGAAAGTATTGATGGATTGTGTGAAAGATATGCTTAAGAAAGGAGTGGATTCAGATATGACGGTTGATAGAGATGTATGGAAGAGCAGCACATACTGTGCCGACCCTCCGTAAGGGATAAGGGCAAGTGGATGAGGACAGTGGATGATGAAAAATGATAAAAGGTATGTAACATTAAGAAGCACCGCGTAATTGCGCGACACCTGTATATGCTTTTAACGGTTTTACGTTTGACTATAAAATTTCAAATATACTTCGACAAAGATATTGCGTCTATAAAATCTAAATAGACTCTCCCTCTATACACTAAGGTGCAGTTTCGTATGTACTGTTCAATTTTAACTACAAGTTTTGTGGATAGTTTTATGCTATACAAATGAAAACGAGCATTAAGTTTCTGGCAGCGGGTCTTAATATTATTTATGTCATCGCGTCCCTTAGTTTACGATACCCGGCGCGCATTTTAACGATAGGGTTATGTGTAATTTTTCAACTTTAAAAGGAGTTGAAATTATGAAAGGTCGGTTATACGTTACAAATATTATAAATAAACAAGATAATGTAGCATCTAGAATGTTATTACTATCAGTAACATAGTTACGAGTCATTGTTTAACTGCTTGAAAAGAGTTAAACTATGACTCATTTGCATTATACAACACTAGCTATACCTCGCGACTTCACCCGCATGAAATTAAAAAATAGCCTATGTTACTTACAGATAAATTACCTTTCTTACGGTGAAAGAATTTTTTAAATCAGCCCAGTAGTTTTTGAGTTATTTTAATACATACAAAAATCCAAAAACACAAATCTTTCCTCTTTATAATATTAGTACAGATAATAAACTAACGTTTGATAAATAAATTCCTTAAGTGAATTGTGTTATTCTTTTTGAGGAAATAAATATTTTTTTAAACCTTAAAAGAGATTAGTGAACTACGCCAGACAACTCCAAAGAATAAAAGAAAAGAGCACACACGTTAGAGTTAGCGAAAACTTAGAGGCTAGAATCAAACGACAGGAGTGTGATTATCCTAAAAAAATAAAAACTCCTTCAATATACGATCATGATGAGATCGTGTACCTGTCTCTCGAGGGTATGGTAACCGAAAAAACGAACATAATCTCCGGCAACGTTCGGTCCCAATGAAGTCATCGTTCGCTCGATAAAACGATAACGATCTCTCGTTGTGAACGTAATTAAAACGGAGCGACACAGCCTCGCAAGCATGTCATATATGATGTGGTGAGAAAATATGGAAGAAAAGGAAAAAATCACGTATTTCATAATCCCGAAAGGATATTTGGATATTGTAGATTTAACTAGTAAGTGCTTTTTCGTTATTTATTTATATAAGTATACACAACAGCTAACTTGGTTACACAATTACATAGGAAAATAGAACAAGTATACACAAAACCGATATATTAGCCAATAGGTGCATAACTACATTATCAGAAACAATTTATTAAAATTAAATTTTAGTTACTAGAGTTAAGTAATTACATAAAGTATAAAGCGCCAAACAAGGTCACGTAATTCACGTATGATATTTTACTACAAGAAAATATATCAATTACATGTTATATTTATATGAAGCTAAATATAAATATAAATTAAATAAAATATTCCAATTGAAAACATGTTATAGTAGTGTAAAAAGCTACCAAAATATACGAGTTCTAGAAACTTAATCCTTAAGAATATTTGAATACTTCATATTTAGAAAATTATCTTTCAAACTAATTTTAGTATTTGTAACATGTAGTAATTTTATTGCTGAAGGTAAATTTTATTAAATAAAAATGATTTACAAGTAGTAATAGTAAATATAGTGACCTAAACAAAAAAAAAACTATCGTATCTACTTATGAATGTGTATATCTACTTATAAATGAATATCCAATCCCAAATATCTATGGCCTCCTAAGTTCTGTTATCGTTGAGGTTTTAAGTCTGGTATAAAAATAAAAAAGCAATGAAACTTTTAGTGAGTGTCCGCAACCTCCTATCAAATTTGATAGCACGTTCGTATCCATAGGCAAGATGCGGTGGCGCAACGCCGCTGTAAAATGTAAGACGCGCCTATAAATCTTCGATATAAATAATATCCAAGTCCCCGCACGTTTTATTATCGAACGATGTTTGTAATTCAATAAATCATTTAACATCCGCTACTTCGTACGTTACGCGGGGCCTCGTAAACGTGAATGTTAGGGTATTAATTCGCGCACGATACGTACTGGAGGGATTACCAGGGTCGGGGTATTTACTGGGACAGACTTAAAGCGGTCCTAATACTCACTATTTTAATCCTCAAAATACTGTGTTTAACTGCTTAAATAATACGTACAATATTGAAAGTATTTGTAAAGGAAGTTAGTAAGTTTATTAAAATCGAAAAAAATGCTTTTCATATTGCTTGATATTTGATTGAATTGACACGGTCACTGCGTAACAGGCCGATATCGGCCTGACGTGGTACTTAAGCTGGTGCGGACGAAGAAAACTATGTCCCACTTGCTAATGCGAAACGGTTTTCTCAGGTGTATACATTATCTTTCCATAAAGTTATAGCAATTTAATCTGTCTAGTGATGGTGGGTCTAAAAAGACCTGTCACTCACTGGCGGAAATGTCATTGGGGGCGCATTTCGGCCTGCCGCACCAGATGAAGAATTATGATTTTACTTGCCGCAAACGTGCTAGACTTTGTTGGTATAACAAACTAAAGACAACTAACAATATGTATAAAATGGTGTGTTACTTAAAACGCTTAACAGTTTAACCCCCATAAATATTCTCCAACGACCCCTTAGCAGTATTGTTGAAATTTGTACTCTGCAAACATTTGTCAGTGCCAGCCGTACATCCGAGGCCGTTGCAGTGAGATTGCAGATACGAAATCCAATCGAAATATACAAACCCTTGTACCGCTGGCCATAACGTGGTAGGAGGCCTTTACGAATTAAATTCTACAATCGCATAGGATATGGGAATGTCGCTCTTAATGTAGTTTGATTTAATGGTTATAGCCGCGTGGTGTCAGATGGGATATGTGGATGGAGTTTGCGATCACCCGCTGCGTTCACTCGGCGAAATCACAACAAATCATTCACGGAGCCCACCTTCGATAATGAGAACTGCATCGCATATCCCCTTCCCCTTGCGTTTTTTGTTTGTTATGGCCTCGGTAAAAAGTCAAGTTCTTGACAGATGTTATTGCTAGGACTTGTATGGTGTTTATCACCATTTGAACGATTTGAGCATGAATTGTAAATTTTTTTTTTATTTATTCTGGTTACCATATTTATGTATAACGTTGTAGTTTTTATACAGAAGGTTACAAACGTTACAACGGCTATCATTTTTATTTAAATTTAATATCTAAGTTTAATTTATTTGCAGATAATTCCCAGTTGACGAATGTGTAAGGTTATTATAAGATTTAGTATGTTTCGAACTAGATTTTGTTACTTTGAAATTTTCACATAAAACTGCAATAAGAGAAATTTAAAATGTAGATTAAATTAAACCACTATAAGACAGGAACCGTCCAATTTAAATACCTCATTCAGACCGTTACTTGTAGTTTCAATTCTACGCCGTTTACATCTTTAAACTAACATTATTCGAATGTTTAAGTAACAAAAGATGAAAAGCCGCTATAAAATTTCACCATTTCCCCTTTGTATGTAGGCAATTAGGCTAATGAAGTGCCCGCTCGCCCCACCAGTGAATGGCCTTTAAAGCGTTCTTCGCATTCACCGCTCACCTTTCATGTAGGTAATTTACTGATGCTCTATATCCTAGCTTCAGTACAAGCTTTACTTGTATTAGATACGAGTGAACTGCGGACGGTCTGCCGGCAGTTTTTCCGCGATCGATATCCCCTCGAGCGGACTGTAATAGACCTTTACGTACATTTTTATGCGGTATTTAAAAAAAATATGAGTTCATTGACAACAGAATTACATTTTAATCTAGTTAGATTACTACAACACATTACAGAAAAACAGAAGGTAAGATTAAATTGAACTATGCAAATATTCATGAAAGTTTTTAGAATCTCACCAATGTTATAAATGCGAAAGTTCGATGCATCGATGTTTGTTAGAGTTTGTAGCCTAAACAAATGAACGAATATCAATTAAATTTGTCATAGATTTAGAGGATAGTCTGGAAGGAAACATACGCTACTTACTTTTGTTTATTTTTATACCACGCGTTCGGAATTGCAGACGAGAGCTAATGTTTAATGAAACTTAAATGTGTTATAAAATGGGCAAGTTACCGTTTTAGTGATAATTTATTTTACTAGAATATGAAGGCAGAAAAATACGAGAGAATAAACAATATTCTTTGATATACAAACAATAATTTATCAGGGAACAAGAGAAAATTGAAAAACGATAAGCAATAAATAACAATCAGCGTGTACGAGGAGATAAACAAAGGCAATCTATAGGCAAATATGACGGAGATTGCAGATTTATTTAGCGTAAAAAGCGAAAGTGTTTGCAAGCGGGAAGAATTCGTCGAGTTAAGCGAACAACACGACACAGCCTGCGGTTATTTATCAAGCGTTCGATAAACAGCAAAGGAAATTGAATCCGAATCAACGGCAACCACAAAAATGATTTATTGGCTTTATAAACTAAATATTGACTGATCATTTTCATATTCCATTTAGAATATTGGATCGGGACCGCCGAGGGAGCCCGCTTGCACGTTTCCAGCTGTTATGGTACACGTTATAAATGTTTAATTGTTTTGTTGTTCCTGCTACGGCTATCAATAACGAAGATTTATTATATAGCTCTTAAAATACAAAGCGTTATCTTTATGATATCAAAAATTGTCTATATTTTTGCTTTTAATTTTGACAAGACAACAAAAGACTCTTAGAGCGGGCACCTGTTGTGCGATTGTCGATTGTTTCGCAGCCAATTCAACTCTTTAGTTGCATAGGAATCAAAGCGCAACTAAACAGTTCTCGGATAGTTTAGTCAAAGGTTTGCGAACGCTCTTAACTATCAAGATTATTACTAAAATCTTTCAGTCCTCTTTGAGTCTTGCGATTTGTAAATTAACGTCACTGATTTCATACACGAACACAACAGAGATTTAAAGATAAAACCAATGTATCCAATTTTGAGCAGAAAACATTAAGATATGAAATGTAAGTTACAAAGTATAAGTACTGTCATAAAATTTTAGTTCGTCGTCTAAATTTAGACGATATGACACGACCCAGATGGTCACGGCCCCCGATTTTAGTATCTTTCAAATCTTTTCAAGGCGTCCACTCACTTTTGACCCTTGATATTACACGTCGTCCTGTTCTAGGAGAGTAAAGGTGTCGTAGGTCACTGAATACTGGTAGGTTATGACAGCCGATAGCCTGTTATACAACGAGCCATGTTACATTTCATAGTTATGGGCGCGGAAAAGGAAGTGTATATTTTTAGTCTGTGGGCATCTGGTTGCCGAATACGTGTGTTCATAGAATCAGCTTAATTAACATGTCCCCGGTTTCATAACTAGAGAATCCCGTGTCGTGCGACAGCGAATCATAAAGCTTAAGGTTGAGTTTAAAAGTTTCTCCATTCTATTTGTGTGTTGTTGGTGTTACAAAAATGACATTTCACTTAAATTAATGCGCGGGGACGTGTTACAGGAAATATAGGTGTGATAAAATTGTAAGGTTTATGAGACGTCATCACGTTGGAATTTCAGCAGCTGTGGCTTACTGATTGGACCACCTGATGTTACTGAGACGTTTGGATGAGTTCAAAGGACAACATAACCTTAATGGAGCTGTCGCATGAAGTGTAAACATTAATAGAGTGCAAATCTTATAGACGGGACATAGTTTGATCTTGTCTAGAGCTTTGACTCTACAAGGTAAACAGTATATTACTAGTGTTAGAGATTAACAACATGACATAATTTTAACAACGTAACAAACTCAAACTCTGGCCACTGCCTTCCGCTGGAATGGCGCGCTTTCATACATCATTCATACATCTGAAGACATTGACAGCTGTCATAGGGCCAGGACGTCTGTCGATGATCTAGGGTTGAGCCGATTTTTGACCGACTTCCGAAAAGAAGGAGGTACTCAATTCGTCTGTATTACTGTCACTAGATTACGCTTGAGTTTGAAAGTTAATTATAATACATTATCAATCACTACTGTTTTAAAAAGAAAGAAAAAAACGGAATAGTCGTGTCACGAAAATATTAACATAGAAAGTATCCTTTCAAACCTGTCTATAGTTAATTCATAGGATCCGGTTTCTAACATGGGTCCACCTAATTACTGTACTCCACTATGTTTTTTGTAACAAAATAATGTCCAATATCAGATGAAATAACTAAATAAAATCCGTTGATGTTTCCTAAAAGCATTTAACACATTGGTGTAAATTTATCGTAAGTGGTCTCGATTCTATATCAGAGATCAAACGCTCCACATGAAGGCTCCAAGCCTACGTGAGCAGAAACAGAACGCCGCGCTTAAACTGTACTCTTTTAATGAGGAACTATTTTAATAAACTCTTCAATATGACTTAGTAAGCAATTTGATCTTTACACGTTGATGCAGTTTAATTTACGCTTAAATTCGGACAAAAACATAGACAGTTAAAGATTGACTGAAGTATACATTGCTACGTAGAATTAACTACCGTCAGATTTATCCAGTCTATTACAACTCTAAATGTAAGGCAATGGAAGAATTGTCTTGCACTTTGTTTGCTCATTATTGCATCTAAATGTTTATCCAACAATTCACATGTTCCAGTCATGGCTGATCTAATCAGTCTATAGTTATCAAAGTCCTTACCTCCATGCACGCCGCAATAATCTCCGACGCAGTCAGCGTGCTGCGTGTGTGCGCCAGCGCAGGGCGTGTCTCCAGCACACGCACGGCGCCTCGTCTGCCTGCAGTCAGCTCCACACACCGACCATTCAGACCATGCGCCCCAACGACCAGGCAACGCTGCAAGAACATTCCACTTTAGAGATGACGTCATTAACTCTAGCATGTTAGCATCAAATAAATAAATAGACTAGATATAATTAACAATTCTTTTTCACCGGTAACTTCTTTGAAAGGTACCATGTTAGTTGTCAAGTTTAGTGCCACCTCATGATTATATTGACACGTTATAAAACATTTTACAAAATAAACTCCATCTTTTGTTATAAAATAAACTAAATAGTATCACAAAATAAAATGTAAACATTTAAATATTATTTAGTGACACCTAACAGCAAATAAAATGCAATTATTATATTGACATTTGGTTTTATATGTAGATCTATCAATATATGCCTCTTGCAATTGACGCTTCCTCTATACATACTTTGAATCTCTTTGTCAACAGCTGTTGTGATTGTCGATTGTTTCGCCCATTCAACTGTTTGGCATAAAATCGAGTAGTGTGCGCGTCTCCATAAGCTCATTTTAAAATATACTACAGCCGCATCTTACAGAGTTAATAAACATAGAATATAACAGCTACGAAGTATATTTAGCTACGGACTGTTGCATAATCCATTTGCAGTTGCAAAAAAATATCAGTTTCTGTTCCTGTTCCTAACAATAACTCGGGCGTGGTGAATTGAATCGTTGTACCGGTGATCCCGTGTAATTATTACTGTCATATAACATGCAATCGAGACATTTTAAGATTCGATACGTATTATAACACTAGCATGAATACGTTGCAAAAACCATTTTTGGCATAAGAAAATTGGGCCATTTAGGAGTTCAAACTCACTATGATCTAAGACACAATTTAAAAACATATACTAGGAGTGAATAGATTTGATACTCGTACAAAACAGATTAAAAATATGTAGAATAAGCATAATTGATATTTCACTTAAAACATTTTTAGCATAATCTCTAGCGCCACCTGGTTTCATTTAGTCTAAATCACAAACAAAGAACTAATTCAAACACAGACGCGTCTCGGCTTGTCAATTATTGAGATATTACCGAATAAAGAAGTTACCGGTGAATATAGTTTTTCTCTATGTCTAGTCTATATTAATTAAATGTCTTTGACTCGTATGGAATTTCTCATAAATCAAACAGACATTGCTATCTACAAGCATTAAATTCGATATCTTGGACATATCTTAGCTTTGTAATAAGCTACTGGTTGCATCGTTAGTGTCAGAATTCTTAATTAAATTACCAACGTTTCCAGATAAAATTATAAAATTAATAAACAACCTTATCATGATTAAAGTGTTAAAAGGAAGAAACGTATTTGTTTTCAAAGAGGGGGAATTAAATTTAATCACCACAAAACACACCTCATTTTTATCATAAATTGTTACAACGAATATAATCGTAAACATGCGCCCACTGGGGACGTTTAATTTTATACGTATTTAGAAATTACGCTAATAATGTAGAGGTTAGTGAGGACAAGATTCTTAATTATTGTTTATTGATAACCAATTAACATTTTTATGATTTAATCATGGATATAAACAGCTTGTAGGGGCCTAACATTTATTATAAAGTATATTATTAACTCAGTAATTAAGAGATACAAGCACTAAGGTTTAATGAAAGTTAGATAGATATTCTGTTAGTACCTTTAACTTTTTAATATTATGAAATTTAAGAATGATTGAATTTGATTGAAAAATTATGAAAAAAAATCATACAAAATATGAATTGATGCCATAAATAATTAGATCTGCGTATTAAAGTAAATAATACAATATCTATTTTAATCAACAATATATAAATGCAAATGTTTAGATAGATGGATGCATGTTTGTAGCCTAAATGGCTGACTGAATCGTTGAAATTTGGTATGGATGTAGAGGATAGTTTGAAAGGCAATTCAATTTTGTTTTTTTTTTATTCCACGCTTTCGGAGGCACGGGCGAAAGCTAGTAAAATATAAAGCCATAATACTTAGGCATTGCCAAGGGAGGAAGGAAAGGTCAGCTGCCCCTTTAGAGACTCCAAAAATGTGAAATAAATTTAAAAATACAATAAATAAAACCGTGTTAACAATATCTGCCTTCCTTCACTACTAGACCTGGCCTAAAACATTGAGTGCCGATAACCATGCCACATCGTGGGAGATATAGAATTAAACTCGATAACTCTTTTTTGTAAAACAACATAAAGCGATATGTTAAAACCAATTATAAAATAGTCGTTACTAATCCAATATCTAATTATACGACGATACCGGTCGCAATCGCCCTATAAATTGAAATTAAAACACGCCGCCAAGATGGTAACTGCCCTTACATGCCGTTGGAGAATAAATCACAATATTTTTTTTATACAAAAGAAATAATAGTGCCGTGACTCCGTACCGACTTATCGCGTGGTCCAATCGACAAGCGATGACGGCTCCTTCGTTTTGTATATAACTGTTTTATACCTTGATATAAATGATTTATAAGAAAACGAACTTAAACACGCAGCTTACATAACTGTTTTAGACCTAAGTTGGAATTAAATAAATACCCGAAATACAAAGTAAAAAGTTAGGTTGAATGATTTATTACAATCGATTGACTTGAGTTGCTTTTTCTTAATAAATCGGATTAAATGTTGGTAACTGGTTTTGGTAACATATTAGTCAAATTATATACAAGTTAAGGTAAAAAGAGAATAAAAGGTGGAATAAATTATCCCTTAGTCGATCATTAAAATGTAATGTGCTCGCCTCCTGTCGTGTTGGTCCAAATAAACAACTTTTCTTTTGTTGGTAGACTAATTAATGTGAGGATTACAAAGATAGGTTTTTTCCATGTTTAACAAGCAAAAAATAATAGTAATCTAAATAATAAAATGTTATTACTTTGAAAGCGACCTATCTTTGGTTTAAATTCGAACTGTGGCACTCTATGACATGTTAGGTAAGTTTTTACACACCCATACAATATTAAAAAGTTCAAAATGATGACTATGCTATCCACTGAAGCATGCCGCATCATAAAAATCCAACTCATAAGCTACTAACTATCTAGTTAATAATAAATAAACGTTTCAAAGCTTACTAATGAATACTTAATGTTCCATAACTTACACCACACATGCTCTCCTGCGCATGTGTGGGTGTTACCATATTTAACTGTGCATGTGTGCATCATTTCTTATTAATTAATGTGCACACATAAATCAGTCGAGGTTCGTTAGAGTAGGAACAACGTGAGGACTTTCACATTCTTTATTTTTTTGTCTCATGCTCAAAAGTTTTCAAAGTATGAAGTAAATCATAAATAAATTAATTCTCATCTGCGGCATCCGCTTATAAAAACTTTATTTCATTGTTTACAACATATACTGTCTACTGTTGTTACTGTTGTTGTTGTTGTTATTTTTCTATGTATGTCGTGTAAACCTATAATTAGGACAAATTATCTGCATGTTACTTATTGTATTGTGTAAAAATGTATGTGTTATAATTTTGTCCTGTTGGTTTATCTTAATAAATAAATAAATAAATAAATAAATTTACATTTGTCAAATTTTCAATTGCTTCCTTGATGTTGGCAGCTTGTAGTTTATCGTCTCTTTCCCATATTAAGGTTCTTTTAACTTATTTACCTCCTAAGTTTAATAGTTTAATTAAGCGTGTCGTATAGGACTTTTAACTACTGAAAGGATTGTTTAAAAATACGCTATGATTGCTGACATCTTACGTCACGGAGTGTGTGTTTACGCTTTATTATATTAGTATAGATTATAGAAGACTTTTAAGGAGATACTAAGGATTCAATGCTTTTAAATTCACATGTTCTTTGTGATCACATATTCTTAATGCTTTATAGTATTAATATTATGTATCAAAAGCCAAAGAAGTGGCATAAAATAGTTAAATAATCGATTATATTTCCATTTGTGTAACAACAATTACCCGCGCGTTGCCTCAAGCGGCGCCATGTTGTGATGCGGTCGTTTGCCGCGGACTATCCTTGCTTACTTATTTTCTTGGACACTAAAGTATTTAATTTGCAACGTTCACTGCTTTACAAAGACAAGTTCAAATAGTGTCATAAAATCTGTAATACAAAAGGTAATTTCAGTGCTATTTCTGGGTACTAAAGATTGGACGACTTTTACAAAATTCTTTCTAAACATGTCATTAACAAAATATGTATGACTAGATGTTGCTCGGGACTTCGGCCATGTGGAATTAAAAGATTTTAAAAAAATATAGCCTATGTTACTCAGTGATACCGTAGCTTGACGGTGAAAGAATTATTGAAATCGGACCTGTAGAGTTATTTTAACACACAAACATATAAATCTTTCCTCTTTATAATATTAGTTACTAGCTTTCGCTCGCAACCCCGCCCGTATAGAATTAAAAAAAAAAAAACAAAATTGAGTAACCTATGTGTTCTTCCAGGCTATCCTCTACATGTATAAAAAATTCCATCGAAATCCGTCCAGCCGTTAAAGCAAACAAACATCGATACATCCATCCATCTAAACTTTCGCATTTATAACATTAGTATGATAGAAGCATGCTCTCGAAGCATTTTTTTTTTTGAGTTTAAGAATTTTGTTTGTTGATTTTCTACATGAGGTTGTAATAAATGATATTACAAACATTTCTAATGCAATAAATCCTTTCGTATTCGACTCTCGTTTGCTGTCATTTGATAGTATTCCGATATGTTCGTTCCAGACAGTACTGGGGCCACAGCCTCGTCGACATGTGTTACCAATTAGTACGAACAAAGACGCCACGCTCAAACCGACGATTGCGTTTTATTGTCTATCATGTCCTAGCACATCTGTTACTTATCTGATATCGATGGACTTGATTCTCTCTTTTACTGATTATTTAATAATAATAATAATAATAATAATAATAATAAATCTTTATTTCAAGAAAATCTCATATTTTGTTAGTAAAAAAAAAAAAAAAAAAA